ACTTCTAGCCTGCCTCACGTTCAGCAAATGCATCGAGCACTGCCTACATGCCTGGCAGTATTTGAGATGCTGCAATCATAGCAGTCGACAGAGAACAAGGCAGTTCTCATAGAGCTTACAAAACAATAAATAATCAGACACAGAACTGCAGAGGTATAAGTGCCAGGAAAAAAAATTGAGCAGAGAAGAGGACAGTAAATCCTGATTGGGGTGGGGGTGATCATTAAAGACCTGTCCTAGATGGTGGCATTTTGGTCACTGTAGAGAGAACAGCAAATGCCAAGGCCCTGAGGCAGGAGCAGGCTTAAGCAGGATTTTGAGGAATTCAAGGAAGCTAATATGTCTGGAATAGAGTAAGGAGGAAATAGTAGGAGATACTTGGAGGGTGACAGGGTGAGAGGGAGGGTTATGTAGGATTTATGGGCCACTCTGAACATTATCCTTTACTGAGTGAGATAGAGAGCCACCAAAGGATTTTTGAGTGACAGAAGCATAATCTGATTTATGTCTTTAGAAGGATCGCTGTTGTCTATCAAGGCTGTGAATCAAAGTCTTGACAAACAATCCTTATTTAATCCACATAGAGATGCCCCCATGAAATTGGCCTTCTATCTTTTCAGAGAGATGAAATAACTTAGATGGTCACGACAGAGCCACTTCTTAAGCCTAGGTTTGTCTGATTCCCAAAGCCACATAGATTAGGAGCCAATGATGTTGAAGAGATACTGGAAGTAAGAAGCAGACCAATGATCGTTATAGAGATAGACCATAGTTTGGCAATCAATGGCAGGTGTTGGGGAGAAATAAGTGTCAGCAGAGTAGTTTGAGACTTGGCTGTCTTCTAGGTGAGTGGTGATTCTGTTAACAAAATAGCATAGCAAGAGCTGAAGGCAGTCTGAGATGAAAGGTGGAGGGAGTGACTTGGATAGTGGAGGCTGAGGGGCTGGTATAAGATAGTAGAAATTTCCAGTGGATCCAGAAAGCTCAAGAAGGAACTTAGAATATCCCCACCCCCCATCTTGTGACTAGGGTCAGTTAGAGAGATGGGTGTGCACCCTAAGAGAGAAAAGAAAGGCTGGAGGAGAACCTGGAAATGTCCCTTCAGATGTTGGAATAGGGAGTGGGGACAAGAACTTACCTTTTTTTTCCACCTCTGTAAATTGAACAAAGGAAAGATGTGGATATCTGTTTTGTCTTTTGGTCTCAGGTTAACAAGAGGAATGAGATTAATACACTACAGTAGCAGTGTCACCTAACCTCACCCAGGATGTTGGTTTCTCTGTGTGGAAAGATTGTGTGCCAGTTCAGGCCAGTGCTGGCCACCAATAGGGGTGGAGTTGAGTCCAGTGGCTGCTTCTCCCAGGGCAACAGTGAGCAGTTTGGTTTCTTCCTGAGTTAATCCTGGGAGGCCAAACATTAATTACAGTTATATTTTCCCATAGCTTTAACTGATAACCTTAGCTTTACCTTGAACAAAACCCATTTTTACACTTGTTCAGGAAACCCTCCCTTCCTTCCCTCCTGTTTTTCCCTAAAAGTAAAAGAGCTTGGTGAGGTTGGCTTTAATCCTTATCAGGTTCCATACAGATAGAGTGGCTTATTTTGCAGCGGTATTTGTTTACAGTCTTATAGTTAGCCCAGTGTTTCTTTTCACATGGCCGAAAACTGCTTTTAAAGAAGGAATCTTGGTTGATACCAGTTCTCATTATTAAATAAAAAACCACCCCCTTTTCCTTTTGATCGTTTATTGCACATTTAGGTGATGCTTTTTAAAGTTTTTATTTGCCAGTTTTCCAAAGGTGTTTATCTTTAACCTCTATTCATGTGGAAAATTTCAAACATATGTCCAAACAACAGTAAAATGACTCCGTGGTTCCCATTTTCCATCTTTAACAATTGTCAAAAGCGCACCACTTTCTGCTTTACCTACCTTCATACACAGTTATTTTCTTTAAAGCTTTCAAGCAAATCTTGGATTCAAATGATTCTCCTTTTTTGCTTTTTTTGAGACAGTCTCGCTCTCTATGTAGCCTAGGCTAGCCTTGAACTGATAATTTTCTTTTCTCAACCTCCTGAGTGCTGGGTTACAGGCATCTGCCACCATGATTCTTTAAGAAGAAAAATATTGTTTGGGTGTAGTGGCACATACCTGAAATCCCAGCATTTGGGAGGGAGACCAGGAAGATCATGGTTCAAGGCCAACCTAGGAAAAAATTAGCAAGACCCCGATCTCAACAAACAAGTCAGGCATGGTGGGGCATGTGTGTAATCCAAGCTAGGTAGGAGGATCAGTATCTGAGGCTGGCTCCAGGCAAAAACCCCACAAAATCCTATCTGAAAAATAACTAAAGCAAAAAAAAAGAAAAGGCTCAGATCGTGGCTCAAGCTGTAGAATGCTCTGAGTTCAAACCCCAGTACTGCTAAAAAAAAAAAAAAAAGAAGTATTTATAAAGTAGGTCATTGTTACACCTCAGAAACCAAACAGCAGTTTGCTTGCCTCTGTCAGAGCTACCCTAGTAACTGGATTTTTAGCACGCCTTTGGGGAAGCTTGTCCAGGTACCCTGTTATACTGGTATCTCTCCCCATTCTTCCTAAGACTAGAAGACAAGCATGATTTTTACACACTGATGTATTTGGCCCAGGAATCTTGTTTCACGGTGACATTGTATATTTTATGATACAGGCTACATCATCTTGGAACCTGAGGCCTCAGAACCAGGTAACCAGTGGATAAGCTATAGAAAATCAGGAAAATGTGCAGCTGAAGATAAGTCTGTGAGACTGAGCAAACACTGTAGAGCACAGATGAGTTATGAACAGGAATTCAGGTTGTGTCAGCCTCCATGTCCTGTTTCGGCTGGGCTGCTAGACTCTGGCATTGTCCTCTTTCTCTGAATGTATCTGTGGTACCATTCAGTGAATAAAAAGATACCTTTTTTCTTTGGAATATGACATTCTTATTTTTCCTGGCTTACATGGCTTTGGGGCTGAGTTAGTTGCACCTTGACTGGTTTGTTTCAGATGGGTGAGTGTTGTGAGCCTTTATTTCCTGTCTCTTGCATCAGTCTGTTTGCAAGCATGTACTGAGAGGTGATTAATGGGAAAGATAAACATATGCTTAGTGACCGAAAGTTCATCCTGTTTCCTAAAGTGTTTTGGTTTAGTGAATTGTTTGTTCGCTGCCCACAAACCACATATGGTGTGTGGACTTCTGTTGTGAACACCAAGAGCTTTTGTGTGGAGCTGTGCTTTTAAAGCATATAATAAGGCTTGAAAGATTTTCCTTCATCTGAGAATCCTAAGTGATAGGAGGGTTGGACTGCTATGCCACCATAAGAGAGTCCCTAGAGTCTGGAACTCTGCATACAGAATCCCATAAGAATGTTTGCTGTCCTAAGTTGTGTACAGCCCTGGCTTTTTGTTTGCTTGTTTTGTGGTTGGAATTTGAACTTAGAGCCATGGGCTTGCTAGGCAGGTGCTCTACCACTTGAGCCATGCTCCCATACCACTTCTTTTTAGCTTAAGTAGTTTTTCAGAGAGGGTCTCCCATTCTTCTCTGGGACTCAATCCTCCTACCTATGGCCTCCCGAATAGGTGGGGTGACAGGCATGCACCACCATGTCCAGCTTTTTGGTCAAGATGGAGTCTGGATAACTTTTTTGCCTGGGCTGGCCTGGAACTGGAACTGTGATCCTCCTGATCCCCACCTCGGTGAACCACTGGGCCTGGCAGCTGTGGGGTTTTACTTGCTGGCAGTACCTCCTCACTATGTAGTCTCTTGCCTGAGGATTTCCGATCTGTTTCAAGCACAGTGCTGCTGCTCTGGTCCTCTCATCTCCACTCTATCCACTTCAGCTCATCAGGAGTCTTCTCTTGGAAGGAGAACCTAGGGAGGAGAAACCTAAGGAGGAGAAATTTGGCCATTTTTACTATTGCAAACATGAAATTGACTTAGAGAAAAAACCTTTTCCCAGTTTAAAAAGTAATGCCTCCTCTTGTAGAAATTTTGAAAAGTACAGAAAAGGTGAAAGGAATTGCTTATATCCAAAAAAGGTAACTTATTATTAGGTATTTTGGTCTTTCCACATCGTTTTTTCTCTATGTGCATTGAAGGTTTTCCTCATAGTTGCATTAATACTCTCATGTATAGTGTGCTTTTCTCTTGAATATAATAGCATAAAGACTTGTACATGTTTTAAAATTTTGTTAATATTTTTAAGAAGCCTTCATTTTCTGCCAAGAAGCCATTTTACAATTTAGCCAGTTTAGAGAATAATTGCATTATTTGTAATGCTATTGTAAGCCTATCTGCACAAAAAAGTCTTAATATATTTTATGTTATTTTAAGCTAGATTTTATAGAAATATGCAATTAATGGATCAAAAGGAATCAACTCTTGGCTGCACCAAAGACATGAATCCATTATCCAATCAAGCAGTTCTTAAGCCACAGTTTGGCATTTACTAATGGGAGTATCTAGTACTCTGGTATCTGACAACAATGTAATGATTTGGGTTTTAGAAGTCTTTGATGTGCCAGATAGTAATACTATCACCCCTTGTCCACTGTGGCTCATGACTTCCTTGTATGACCATCTGCCAAGTTATATGAACCAGCCCACCCTTCCTTTTTCTTCCTTCCTTCCTTCTTCCTTCCTTCCATCCTTCTTTCTATCCCTCCCTCCCCTTTCTGATAGTACTGGGGTTTGAACTCAGGGCCTTGTGCTTGCTAGGTAAGTACCCTACTACTTGAACCACATCTCCAGCCCTTTTGCAGGTTTCTTGACAGCAATTCCATCTGGTCTCAGTTCTCTATCCAATCTCAGTGATAGTCATAAGAGCTTGCATTTGTGTCTTTGTGTATGTTCTAAAGTGCCCTCACATACATTATCTCATGCAGGTCAGCCTCCATTGTCATATTTATGATGTCCCAGGTAGCATCTGGGACCCTTGATATTTCACAGCCTGTCTCATTATGCTTTTGTTGTTCTTTTGCACAGATCCAGTCCTGCAGGTACCAACACACGTGGAAGAGTAAGTTTTCTGATTAGTTTGGTACTTCCTTTTAATTCATTGTCTTATTCATTCAGTCAACATTTATGAGGCTAGTTGTTTGGAGCACATACATGCACAAGTTTAAGAACTTGTGAGGCATATGGAAATTTACAGGTGGTGTGATGCTATATCAGAGAAGGGGTGGTCCATTCCTAGAGGAAGAAGAACAATGGTATTAAAAAGGTTTGAGATGGGACTTAAGTTTTGAACTTAAACTCCCAAAGTCTGGCTCTCTCCCTATTTGCTGTGTCATACTATGGAGAAGAAAGATGAATATGACCTGCTTGTAAAGTATATGTGTCAGAGGAAAAGTCTGATGTCTCCTGTAACAGCCTCAGATGATGATACATCTTAAGTTGAGAAGAGATTGAGGAAGGGGTTCCTCAGTAACTTAGTTAGAGTTTCAGTCTTTAGCAGATTAAATTTATAGAAAGCCACCTCCCATCTACTTTGCAGAAAGCTGCTGACAGAGACTTTGGTAGGCTCTTTGATGTCAACCTTCGTTTGCTTTTGTTACCTCCCTTTTAAAAACAAATGCTGTTGAAGACTATAGGTAGATTTGGCCCAATTTATGTACTATTATATACATGTTAATGCAATAATGTTGAAAGTTCTGTGCACAATTGACATGGAATTGACTTTCTAGATCCTTTTCATTTGTTTTATCTTTATCCATAGTACCTTGTTCGAATGATAGTTTACTCTTCTGTGATTTCATATGATTTTTACTTTGCAGGTTGCTTTTCTCCAGGCAAACAGAGTACACACTATCATAAGGGTATTTTATTTACCTGTAGCTGAAGTGAGAGAGAGCAGTGGGTAGAATTTTGTTCACATACACACACACCCCTCCTTCTCCACTTACTCTGCATCATGGCTTTGTATGGTGCTCTAGGCTATAATTTATCATTAATACTTATTTAATCTCTAGGCCTGCATTCCTCCCGGACCCCAATGATGGCAGTCTGTATACACTTGGAGGCAAGAACAATGAAGGCCTTACGGTGAGAATGTTTAGCTGCTTTGTGTACTCTGGATTTTTTGTTTGTTTGTTTTTTGTGGTACTAAGGTTTGAACTGGGCCTTGTGCTCACTAGGCAGTTGCTCTACCAGTTGAGCTATGTCTCTAGCCCTGAAGGGATCTTAACTATGTCCTTAACCGTGTCTGCATGTTGTGAGATCACCTGCAAGCTTAAACAAAGTTCTGGGGATTCTGATTCAGGTTTGGAGTGGTGCCTGCGCATTGGTGCCTTTTCATAGCTTCCTAAATGCGATTTTAACTGTGACGCAAGTTCAGAATCATGGACCCAGACCAGCAGGTATTGACGGCTCAGTCAACACATTAGAAGGATAGAAGGCTCCCTGTAGCTGGAGACTCTCAACTTGAGAGGAAAGAGTATAGTTTGAAACAGTCTCTACAACTCCTCTGTCAGATGCCTCTTTAGGGGAGGCATATGGTATTCCACCTCTATCTCCATTTGAGAATCTAAACCAGTGATTTTCAACCTTTGCTGCACATTGTAATAACCTGGTGAATGAACTCTTTAAAAAACAGAGCCTAAATTTCAGTTCCAGAACATCCTGATTTAATTCATCCAAGTCATCAGGATTGTTTTCATTGTTTTTGTGGTGGTGGGTCTTGAACCCAGTGCCTGCGCTCTACCATTGGTGTACATTCCCAGCCTCATCCAGATTTTTAAAGCACATTCCCCAGATAAGAGAATTTAGAAATAGACCCATACAAATGATCATCTCATTTATGTTAAAGGTGACACTTCAGTAGAGTGGGGAAAGATAGTTTTTTCCATTATGGTATGGATCAGTTGGGCTATCAATGTAGAAAAAGATATCTTGACTCCTACCCCCCACTATTCACATAAAAATCTGTTCTAGACAGACTGCATATCTAAATGTGAAGTCAAAATAATAAAGCTTTAAGAAAAAAGTAGTGGAACAGCTTCATGGCCTTAAAGTAGGAAAAAATTTCTTTAATAGGGTATATATTTTTAAAAATACACCAACCATAAATTTTGGCAAAAAACCAAAAAGATACAGTGGTGATATTGAAATAAAGAACTTTTCTTCCTGAAAAGAGGAGACTGCAAAGTATTTGTAGTCCACATATCCAATAAAGGATTCATATTCAGAATATATAAAGAACTCTTGTGGATCATTTACAAAATGACAGACAACCCAGTAGTAAGGGAGAAGAAGGTATTCATATAGTGAATAAATATATGAAAAGGTGCTCAGCCTTAGTTATTAGAGAAATGCAAGTTAAAATCACAGTGCCATATGACTACCCAGTGTACATCCAACTGCTCACCAGAAGATCTGAGAACAAAAGAGGAAATGTGTTAGTGAGGACAAGGAGCAAGCAGCACTCTCATCCACTGCTGGCTGAGGTACAAGGTGGTATAACTGGTTTGAAAAACCGTTTGGCACCATATGCTAAAATCCCTACAACCCAAGTAATGCCCTCCCTGGATATGTATCCCAGAGAAGTTCATGTGTATGTTCTCTCAAAAGGCATATACTCAAATGTACTCAGCACTGTTGATAATAAGCAACAAGTAGAAACCAGCCAAATAATACTAACGGTAGAATGATAAGTTATGGAGTAGTCGTGTAGTAGAGTACTGTTAGCACTGAGAATAGTCTACGTCTATACACAGCATGGATCTGTCTCTCAAATGTAACATCAAGCAAAACATGACAAAGCAAAAAAAGGCTACACGCTGAATGGTTCATTTATATGAAGGTCAAAAACAGGAAAAACTAGTCTATGCTGTTTTAAAGTTAGGATAATAGTTACCCTGGAGAGTTAATGGCTGGAAAAGGGCACAAGAGGGGGCTTCCAGAGAGCTGGAAATGTCTCTCTTCATTTGGATGCTGGTGATACAGGTACATTCACTTTGAAAATTATGGACCTGTGTGATTACAAGTGCTTTCCTGTTTGTATATTATGCTTCAGTGGGAAGTTTACAAAGTCTCCATGTGATTCTCAAGTATAGCCAAGGATGAGAACTACTGTTCTGAACTCTTAAGTGTATTGTAGGTTCTCATTGACTATTTTAAATACCTGGAACTGAAACAGATGGGAGAAGGGCAAGCCTGTGTGAGCTGCATGTAGTTCACCTTCCACATTTCTCTCTAATCACTGTGGCCTCCCTTTCTTAAGCACTGTATTTGCCAAAAATAGTGATGGGTGATTTGTGTAAGTTACCTCATTTGAGCCTTTCAGCAGCCCATAGGCATTGTGCCCATTTTAGAGATGTGGAAACTGAGCCTAGACAAGGAATGTACCCAAGGCTGAAGCTTCCAGAGTTGGATTTGGTACTACTGTGGTTTACTGGCTTCAGAGACAGTGCATTTTCCAGCTGGACCTCGAAGTTGGAGAGCTTTGGAGGTGCCTGGCCCTCCATAGGACACCAGACTGAAGGATCTTCTGATTCTCAGAAACCTCTGACAAAAACCAGTCATTACTGCCTGTGATAGCATTTTTCCTTTTCTAAGTCTCAGTTTGAATGTTGGGATGATGGGGAAATCCAAATTGTTTATTTGTATTTATAGTTCTGCTTAAGCTATAGAGAAATTTTTTCTTTCTTGGAGAAAAAAGGTGACAGTGTAGTAATAGAAGCCGGGAGTTTCTTCTGTAACAGCAGGTATCTGCAGAATAGTTTCAGGAACACAAAATGTTCTAAAAATAAAATACTCTGAAACCAGCAGTGACCAAAAGGACTTGTCAGATGTCAGCTGTAGACTCAGAACAGTCAGTTTTATGATGAAATGCATTGAAACATTTGGATTCCTTTGAGTTTCTTTTCCTGGCACCTACCATAACTTCCTTTTTGTAACCAAAGGGCTTGATCTTCTGTTTTTCAATAGAGAATTACTTACTGAAGAAAAAAAAAAAAACAACTACTTATTCCACCTCAGACCCTTGTGTTGCCCTTGTACCAATGCCTTCTCCTTCCCTCGAAGTTTGATTCCAAAATTGCTTCTCTTTAGCATAATGTCATGACTCCCTCTCACTCTAAAAAGCATAGTCATTCTACCTAATCTGGCCATTTCTGGATCAATTTTCTAAGACAGAAGACTCCTTTCTCCCACCCTTGGAATTTCCAAGACTCTGTAATCCTCCATATTTGAGTCCTTCTAGAAATGTTTGTTTTGCCCCTGGAAAGTGCCCTGGAGACCTGGAGGACCTCTGCTTCCAGTGTTAAGGAAAGGAGTTAGTGTTTATAAAGCACAGCGGCCTGTTGGAAGTGGACGTGAAACCCAGGGCACCCCTTCTCCCTGGGTTCCAGTTGGGAAAACTCCCATCTGGAAGCACTTCTGTCTTTTTAGCAGAACTGGGTAGCAGAAGCAGAGTGTAATAATTTCACAAGAGTTGGTTAACTTATTTTTTCCTTTTATTTATTTATTTATTTATTTATTTTTAAAGAAACTTCCCTTTACTATTCCGGAACTGGTACAGGCATCCCCATGCCGAAGTTCAGATGGAATCCTCTACATGGGTAAGGGTTACTGTTTTCCAAACTTGGGTCTCTTTAACAGTAAGCCCTGAAATCTGGGAAAGTTGGTTTTCATTTGTTTGTTTGTTTGGGGTAGGGGGGAGACAGAGAGGGAGCAAGGAATGGAGGGAGGGAGGGGGAAAAAGAAGGAGGGGAGGAAAGAGAGTGAGAGCTCCAGCAATCAAGCCAGCAGCTATTACCTCTTTTGCCAGTCCTTCTGGGAAAGGCCTTTCTTGCTGACAAATTAAGAAAGGACTCCCCCTTTCCCCCCACCGCAACACACACCTGGAAGAAAAATTGATACCATTAGTATGGTTACTTATTTAATAAGCTTTTAGCTGCTGGGTTGCCCTACTCCTGGGATTTCAAGATTGCAATATACCTGCAAATGGATGAAATTTAGAGTGAATACAATAGTCTGTGCCAAGGAAGGGAAGCAAGCCCTGCCTATTAATTATAGGGCTTTCTTAGTATTTCCTGCTAAGAGAATATTTGATAGAAACAGCACTTAACAGCTTGCCTAAATAAGCTCCCTCATACCTATGGGGGCACAGCTTTCAAAGCATCAGTTCACCTGCTTTTCTTCACTGCATTAATGCCAAAATGTCAATAAAACTGCATTTGTAACACAAAGGAGAGCTGTACTTATCTTGAAATCCTAGCAGCAATAATAGCAGCTTTATTTATATAGCAGCTTTATTTTTGAGGAACTGAAATTGCTTATTGCCTATTCGTGCTTGGGAACCTCAAATGCATGCCAACTTTTAAGTTTTTGCTAGCGACACTGGGGCTTTTGTTTCCTTCCACTCCTTCAGAATGATGAACCCCCAGTCTAGGGATTCAAAGGAAGTGACAATAAGGCTGTCCTCTGGGCCATGACTCCTGGCCCATCTGACCATCTTCTGACCACTATGTCACTGGCTTTTGCCAGCAATCCATCACTTGCGGTCTACTTAAGATGTTGTGTTTTCATCATCTTTGTGTGGTGCCCTCTTAAGTGAGTTTATTAAGCATATTTAAAAGCAGGTTAGTTGCTCAATCCATCCATTGACATTGTAGCTGAATTTTGCAGGTTCTTGAACTAGCCAGATGGAAGGGATCCATGGTCATAGCTGTTTGCTGACATCTTTACTCTAGCTTTAGATCTTTTTCATATTAAGATCTTACTATTGAGGGTTGGGGTAAAGCTCAGTGGTAGAGCATTTGCCTAATATACATGAGGCCTTGGGTTCAATCCCAAGAACTGCCAAAAAAAAAAAAAATCCATGAAACCTTAACATTGAGAACAGAGTTAAGATCCGCAGGCAAATTCTGCACATGTATGGAGCCCATGTATGGAGCCCATGTATGCTACGCCTAAAACTAAGCTAGCTTCAGCAAATTAGGGCCCTGTGACCTTCCTCAGCATCTCAGTCTTATGCTTCCAGGAGTCCTTGGAGGTAGGATGCTTTTCTCATCAGTTGGGAAGATATCAGCGAGCGATGTCATAGCTGACAAAACAGAAACGCACACATTATGGTGCCTGTTGGCTTTCAGATCAGAGGTTCATGCTTCAGCCTCACCATTCCCTATGTCCATACGATAGATACATGTGCTGTGGGTTTTCCTAAGAGTGTTGTGTGGCTGTGCTGGTCAGCCTGTTCAATGGAGTTGTCTGAGGCAAGGGATATGTTCTGTGGCCTGGGAATAACTTAACTGGCTGAGGACAGAGGATGAGATGACTTTGGCCTCATTAGCATCTGGTTACAACCAACTCTGATGTCCAGTCACAGGTACTAGCTAATTATAGTTATGAATCTCTTCACATGCAGGCTAATTGGTAGGGATGTTCAGAAATGGGAATTATGGTTGCCAGAGAAATGAACCCCTGTGTACATTTCTGTATTTATACAGATCCAAATCTGTGGGAAAAGAATTATTCTTTGCAGTCAAGACTTTTCAGATTTAAGGCTACTAATCAAAGTAATAAAGTATAACTTGAAAGTTAGGAGAACTTTTTTTTTTTTTACTGTAATTAGGTTATTAGATTTGGAGAAATTTTCATACCATGATTAGGTTACTAAATTACCATAAGACCCAGTGGCCCAAGAAGTTATTATATACACATTTCATTGACTTTGTCACCTTCAGAGCATCATAGAGATGTCTTCAACATCATAGGGATTTCAGACCTGTCTCCCAGCACAGTGAACATTCATCTTAAACAGTTAGAACTGTTACTTTGGCAGTGATATTTTTTCCCATATAGGATAGGTGCTAACAACAGCATGTCCTGTAACCTTTCAGGTAAAAAGCAGGACATTTGGTATGTCATCGACCTCCTGACTGGTGAGAAACAGCAGACTTTATCATCAGCCTTTGCAGATAGTCTCTGCCCATCAACTTCTCTTCTGTATCTCGGTCGGACAGGTAAGAATGAACCATTGTCATGTATAACCTGCCTGTTTCCAGAATGGATCTGATGAAGCTCTCCCACTGGCCCCTTCTGTGGGCGTTGTTCTCTAGAAGGTGGCCAGAGCTGCCCTCTCCAAATAGGCAGATTTTTACCCTCTTTAAGACCCTTCAGTGACCTCAATGCCCAAGGGATGCAGTTCAAACTGCACCATGACCGATAGAGCCTCCGCTGTGCAGCTGCCACCTCTCTCATCTCATTCCTCCCTGCTGCATTCCCTCATTTAAACATTTTTCCAGTTGGGTGGACTACTTGTAGTTCTGAGAAAAGCAATGCTATCTTTAAGTACTCATAGTCTGGTATCTATCTCCACCAGGTATGCCTGGTTTTGCCTTTCTGGAAAATGTCCTCTCTTCTTCCACAGCTCTACTCAGAAGTCCCCTTCTTCCCTGGTCTAAAAGTTCTCACCCTGCCCAGGGACACTCAGGTCATCTCTTCTATTCTGGGACATATGTAGTAGTTAATAGGTGTGTAGTAGGAGTCTTCTCATCATCTGTCATTGTCCCTTTATAGGCATGAATAGCACCCTCTTCATCATGTCATCTTTTATTTCCTCTCTTTTCAGCCACCTTCTTCTTAACACTTGTCACTACATATTTATAAGTTTTATGTACCTATTTTTTCCTCCCCCACTAGACTATCAGTTCCTCTAGGGCAGGACTTTGTTTTGATCACCAGCTGTATCTTTACACCGGACATATTCCCTGATACTTAGATGTTTAAATGAGTCAGTGGGTGAGCCCTGTTATTGCGGGATCTGCCTTACTCATTTGAACATGTGCAGCACCTCACATATCAGAGCCACCATAAAAATAGTTAAATAATAGTTAAAAGTAAAAGAAGAAGCAAAAAAAAAAATTCAGAAGGAAGAAATTATACCAAAAACATAGGATCCCATAAACATGTACAATTATTATGTATCAATAAAATTTTTAAATCTATAAAACTGGTTATTAAATTCTTTAAAAATCTAGGATGAACTCATTACCATTGAGTACTACATTTAGGTCTAAACATTCAGGAAGCCAAGGCTTTCAGAAAAGAGAGCCATAGCCTTCTTTCAGGTGCTGTGGAAAACAGTGCTTGTCTTCTAAATCAGTGAAACTGGTCTTGGGCCCTGGAGAGTCTGGTCTCTTCTGTCACTAGGGGGAAGGTCTTAGACTACAGGATTATCCACTTTCTCTTTATGAAAGTCAGATAATCTAAATGTTTGGGACTGCTTAGGATTTGTTTACCTTTTTCATAAGCAAAGCCTTATCATGGTTTCAGCTTCACCTATGTATAAAATGTGTGTGGTTCTCAGGTAGAATTAGGGAATTCGAGAGTGTTTGGATATGCTGCGGTGTTAAGTGGAATGTGTGCACATGTATGTATACAGCTACCATTTGCATTATCTATTGCTGCATAACAAACACCTAACTTAGTGCCTTAAAATAATAGCTATTTTATTGTTCCTGATTCTGTGGGTGAGGAATTCAAGAAGGGCTCAACAAGGTCAGATCACTCATGTCTGGGACCTTGGTTCAGTTCCATGTGACCTTTCTCCACACAAATAGCCTGCAGTTCTTCACATGGGTTCCTCTTGAGTAAAAGTGGATGTTAGAATGCTTTATAAGGTCTAAGCTCAGAAGTCCCAGAACTTATTTCTGCTATAGTCTATTAGTCAAAGCAAGTCATGAGGCCAGCCCAGAGCCAAGGGTAGAGAAACAGATTCAGCCTCTTGATGAAAAGAGTGGCTTCCCACACAGGGAAGGATTGATGGTGGTAACCTTTTCAGACAGTCCTTCCTCTGGCTACAGAAGTTTACAACCCTTCCACATACAAAATGTACTTGCCCTCTCCCAAGATTCCCAGAGTATAGCATTAGTCTCAAAATCCAGTGTCTCTGAATCTGCATCAGGCTTGGAAATAGATGAGGCTCCTCTGACCTGGAGACCTGGGAATTATAGACAAGTTCTTTCTCCCCCATGTTCCCCTCCTTTCCACCTGACATATAATGGTGAAAGAAGATAATAAACATTCCTATTCTAAAGGGGAAAGAAAAGGGACCTAGGTAGAGTACTTGCCTAGCATGCACAGTGCCCTGGGTTTCATCCCTGGCACACATGGACAAAATTACTAGTAAAAAGGAAAGGCACATAGCAGACACTGGTCCTCAGTAATCTGAAATTCATCCAGGCACATATTTTCAGGTTCCCCTACTCTGGAGGCAGGAAATATTCCTTGATTGGCACTCAGTTTTACCCTCTGAGGTTAGTTCCCTTACATATTGTTCTCATTGGATCTTGGTTCAGTCCTCTGAGAAATCCTTTCTTTTCCATAAGAAATGGCTAGGTTTGTAGATTTGTCAGTCTTTTCCTTATTCATTGAAAGTGGGTGGTCTAGAAGCCTTTTTTTCCCCCCATTTTAACCATTTCTGATTAACCCATGCCAATATTACTCCTGCAAATCTATACAACTCTTAAGAACTCTTCTTACCTAGCATAAGGTCTATGGGTACCATTTTAAACCTTTCTAAGGGGGAGGGTAAATGAAGGAGATTAAGATGAGGGTCTATGGCTGATGGACTTCATATACTTATATGAAATAGAACAAAGAAGCCTCTTGCAATTGCTTCAAGTGGGGCGGGGAGGGTGTTGAGGAAGAGAGAGGATAGGGGTGATCTAACCAATATACAATATAAGCCTAACCAGAATTGTCACTATGAATCCCCCCCAAACAAATATATTCAAATAAAAAATTTTTATAATAAAAATTCTTTCTCATTCACATTCATTCTGGATTTGATCTTGACCCTAACTTGAGGCTTTTTGTGTGTGTGTGTGTGCTCTGAATTTGATCTTTGTCCTAAGACTATTATTTTTGTTGAGAACCTCTTCCAGGTGGAGAATTAGTGATGGACCTTCTGTATTTTCTGTATTCCTTGAAAGTTGAATGATTTCTTCTTTAGCTCATCATCTTGCAGTATACTATACACAGCTAAGAGAAACTGTTTCCATCTTCTGCCTGGAAATCTTACTCAGATCCCTGAGTTCATTAAGCACTTTTTTTTGTCTTCCAGTTTACTGCAAGCAATAGCCTTTACCATTTATGTCACTTACTATATAAGTTCATGATCTGTGTCACCCCTTTTCAGCTTCCAAAAGCAGTTTCCTCACTGCTCTTTCAAGCTTCTACTAATAGTCCTCTTGTCAAACTTCCAGCCTCCACCTTCCATCTGGTCCCAAAGTCAGTGCTACTTGTTGTAAGCTATTGTTGTGGCACCATCCCACTTCTAGGTACCAATTTCTAATATCAACTACCCATGAGCTATGAATTCCAGTGCATAGTAAGAGTGACTTGGTTGCTTCACATGCTGTTGACCAGTTTCACTCTTGTGTCTGGGACTTAGTTTTCCACCTGGCCATTCTCTTTCCACATATCAGATAACCTGGACTTTTAAGCATGCATTTTAGGGATTATCTGTTTGTTGTAACTAGATAAGGTCAATACCTCAGTAGGTACCACAGCCCCTGTGGTAATGGGCTGGTCTGTGTCCTCTAGAATACACCATCACCATGTATGACACCAAAACCCGTGAGCTCCGCTGGAACGCCACCTACTTTGACTATGCAGCCTCACTGCCCGAAGATGATGTAAACTACAGTAAGCACGGCTGGGCGGGTGGGGGGAGCTCATGAGGTTGGCCTAGCACCTTCCCTCTATGAGAAATGATTGCTCTAAAGAGCAGGATTTTCTTTTAAGACAACCTGATGAGGTGCTGGACTTTGCATGAGCTTGTAGTAAGTACTCCCCACAGTCATGTGGCATAAGCCTGGGTGATAAGTCTGGGGGAGCCAACTTCTGGGTTAACCAGGGAGGAAGGAGACCATGTCTGTTGAGACTGTGTCACAGAAGAAATTTACTACAAGCCCGTGGACAGTAAAATTAAAAACCAACATGTGACATCAGTGGCCCCATCAAGAAAGCTACTCTAAATGTGGCTTATTCTCTAGTTATTTATTCCCCCCAACTCAAATGATAACTGAGAAACCCAGTTGTGTCATCTTAACATTGGTATCTGACTCTCCCTTTTCTGGTTCAGGACCTAGAATATTTTTGTCTGTCTTTGAGCACTCCTTGGTGAATCACATGCACTCAGGTCTGACTTTCAACCTGGTCCATAAGGGTTTTTTTGTTTTGTTTTTTGAGACAGGGTCTCATTATGTAGCCCAGGCTGGACTTAAACTTGTGACCCTCCTGTCTCGGCCCCCTAAGTGCTGGAATTATAGGCATGAATCACTATTCCTGGCCTAATCCATAGGTTCTTTTTTTGTGTGTGTGGCACTGGGATTTGAACTCAGGACCACAAGCTTGCTAGGCAGGTGCTTTACCACTTGAACCACTGACCAGTCCAATCCATAGATTTTAAATGATTGCTATAAAACAGCAGAGTGATAGATATCTCTATTGGCTCCTTTCCCTTCAATATTTACTCTTACTTTTTGAATAGAATGGTAAAGAGCATCAGCAAGGAAATTGCCTGTGGAAGAAGGATTCTATCTTATGTTTATATCCCATGCAGCTCTCAGGGTCTTGATATTGAGAAGCCTGAACAAGCTCATTGGAAACCAGTGAGTTGTTCTGAGGAAGTCTGAGAATATTTCAAAAGTGTTGTTTTCTTTAGTTGAGTGATGTAGTTGCCAAGAGAGTAGAGGATGTGGTTGCAGGATGGGGTGAGGCTCGATGTGCTTTGTTGTTTGATCTTTACAGAGATGTCCCACTTTGTGTCCAATGGCGATGGACTGGTGGTAACTGTGGACAGTGAATCTGGGGATGTCTTGTGGATCCAAAACTATGCCTCTCCAGTGGTAGCCTTCTATGTCTGGCATCGGGAGGGCCTGAGGAAGGTGATGCACATCAATGTCGCTGTGGAAACACTGCGCTACTTGACCTTCATGTCTGGCGAGGTGGGGCGCATCACCAAGTGGAAGTACCCATTCCCCAAGGAGACAGAGGCCAAGAGCAAGCTGACGTGAGTTGGGGAATTCAAGGTAGTTGGGGGCAGCAAGGGGCAGCTGTGATGCTGGCATTCTAGAGGTTTTGGTTTTGGTTTTAGTAGGACTTGGGTTTGAATTTAGGGCTTTGTGCTTGGAAAACCTCGCATTCTGGTACTGCTGCAGCATACCATACCTTACACTGGAGGAGGTCAGAGTGTGGAGCACACATCTCTAAGACTGTAAGGAAAATCAAGAACCAAGACTAGTTCATTTGGAAACCCCAGACTATAATAACCAGGGAGTATTCCTTGTTGCTTCAGAGTTCTTGAATATTAAATAAAAATTATGGGTGGGGATAAGGCTGTCAGTATAACTATAGTACAATTTGCATATATCTGTTGTAAAAATAAGAGGTTTTTTTTTTTAACTCTATGTATTTTCTTTTTGTTGTTTGTTTTTGCTACTGGGAATCAAACCCAGGGTCTTGTGCAGGCAAGCATTCTACCTCTGAGCTATATGCCTCGCTCAATCTTAATGTATTTTCTAAATTTTTATTATGTTATGTTCATTTTAAAAATAAGAAAAAAATGTTTACAGCATATATGTCCAAGACTCAGCAGACTTGTATTCTCTGTCCCCATCTGCTTACAACCTGTCACTAAGTCACTTAACTCTGCCAAGTTTAATTTCCTATTTTAGAGAATTGTGGGGAAAATCAAATAAAATGATGCATGAAAGTATTGTCTAAAGTAAAACACCACTCAAATTGAAGGTGTTCGTTGAGAGAAGTTTGTATAATTTAGTAGATGACTGGCCCCATCAGAGCTATTGGCAGTAGTAAGTAGAGGGTGTGGAGATTCAGCCCCACTGTTTTCACAGTGACGTCACAGCCAACATGACCCAAGAGCAAGCTGATGTGTCGGGGAACTTGGGGCAGTAGGGTGCAAATGTTCCAGATAGGGGCAGACCACCTAGGGCAGTAAAAACCTCACCCAGTTAGGAATTTTTTTTTTTTCTTTTTTTGCCATACTGGGGCTTGAACTCAGGGCCCACTCCACCAGTCTTTTTTCGTGATGGGTTTTTTTCAAAATAGGGTTTCTCAAACTATTTTCCCAGGCTGGCTTCGAGCCAGCTGAGTAGCTAGGATTACAGGCGTGAGCTACTGGCACCCGGCTCAGTTTGGAATTTCTTAAGCATTCATTTTGCTCTTAGCATAGAGCAGTTGACTGCTCCTTGGGGACTCTGCAGCACCTCCAAGGACCTTTGCAAAGCCTTGAAAAGCACAAGGCATTGCGGGTAGCAGCAGTGCTGCTGCTGGGGATCGTCCACACCCCAGCAGGTGTTGGCCAGAGTCATCTGACAAGCTTTGGCAGGGGTGCTCAGCGCTCAGTCTCTTGGCTGGTCATTGATACTGTACTTTCTTCAGGCTGTCCTGGGCCTGGTCTAGTCTGGCCCTGGTATTTTGCTGATGAGGAAACTAAGGCTTGCAGTTAGACGGCTTATCGTATTTCTGTAGGCAGCAAGGGAAGTCCCACTGTCATGTTCCCGGCAGTGTCCCCCACCTCACATACCCCTGCTGCTTTTCTCTATTCCTGGGACTAATGAGGCTCCATGCCTGAGGGCAGTGTTTGGAGGCTGTGATTCTGCCTTCCCAGAAGCCCTGTTTTGTGGGGTGCATACATGAAATGACTTTGGAACTCATTTCTGTTTTCTCTCAGGCCCACCCTGTATGTTGGGAAGTACTCCACCAGTCTGTACGCTTCCCCGTCCATGGTACATGAGGGAGTCGCGGTCGTGGTGAGTCAGTCCTCCATGGGGCTCACAGATTCAGCCTCCCAATTGCTTCTGTTCCTTATTAGCAAAGAATGACCTGGTTACAAAGTGCATTACAGAGCTGAAAGCCCCTAGAGCAGCTTTTGCACAACCATATTCTACTTTGAAAACAAGATATGTGACAGAAGCAGCCAGGAAGACCTGATTATCCCGTTGCTTTTGTTTGCAGAAGTAAACGACCTGAATGGTACAGAGGCCTCCTCAAGCCAGTCCCCCATGTCCTTGTGCCACTCTGTTAATCTCTTTGTGAGAGTTGCATGGTCCAGCAAGTACATCTTCTCCCTGATTCCCCAAAGTTCTCTGTTCATCTTTCTTCTGATACTGTTGTGCCTGGCCTCACACTTCAAACACCCTTCTTCCTTTTCCCTACTCAAATCCCTTCCATCCTTTGTGACCTCTTTCAGCCTCCTTGGGCCTCATCAGCCTGCCTTGAGCACTCTGTCTCTAAATGTCTGAGGTATTATGATTCTGTCTGCTAATCCCGATCCTTCCAGTGTCTGGGCTATTTGTTTATATCTCATCTTCCTAATGAATTGGTTGGCTGCCCCAGCAAGAGGGCAGCAGCTCCAGTGTAGCTTGAGTCAGCACTGGGCACATGACTGGAGTTTATTCCACCCTGTTAATTGCATTGGTTGTAACTAGTAGTATCTACTCATTGTTCTTAGATCCTCCTCTCATAATAGCTCCTTGAAGTTCAGTACATGCATCCTTCTTAGTCCCCAGAAGCCAAACATAAGAATGTGAAAAGGTGTCAGTGGAACACTGCAACATCCTGAGGGAAGAGCTTCCCCTACCCAGACTGAGGGCCTTTCTGTCTTGCTCTGACTTTGCTGAACCTCACAGTAGAAACTGCTCAGCCCGAGGCATGTCGGTTCCTTCGGAGTTCAGGGCAGTGCTGGGGAGGTGTGCTGTGGGACCCAGGGAACCTGCTCTTCATCAGGACTCATGAGCTAATGAAGCACCCTGTCTCTTTAGCCCCGCGGTAGCACTCTTCCATTGCTGGAAGGCCCTCAGACTGATGGTGTCACCATTGGGGACAAGGGGGAGTGCGTGATCACACCCAGCACAGACCTCAAATTTGACCCTGGACTCAAAGGGAAGAGCAAGCTGAACTACTTGAGGAATTACTGGCTTCTCATAGGTAAGAGCCTTACGTGGTGGCGTACTGCCTCCTGGTGGGCAGAAGCCAGCCCTGCTTGCTTACTGCTCTTCATTCTGAATATATTTTGCACTGTCCAGTTCAAAAGGGTTGTTTATTATTTCCAAGGAGAATAAACACGGTAGCCAGGTTATTGGATAGTCCTTAAAAGCTGTTTACTTAAAAAAAAATTAAAAAAAATTAAAAGCTGTTTACTTAATGTTTAAGTACTAAGTTATGTAAACTTGTGTAATTATCTGACACAAGAATATCTGTTCCTGGGCTGGTAGACTGGCTCAAGTGGTAGAGCACTTGCCTAGCAAGTATGAGGTCCTGATTTCAAACCCCAGCACTGCCAAAAAAAAAGAAAAATTCCCAAAGACAAACAAAAAAGAATATCTATTCCTTATTCAGAAGTGACCTTGTGTGAGGTGTGAGATAGGTACCCTTGTTATTTCCATTGTATAACTGGGATAGAAAATGAATGTGGGTGAGGGCCAAGAGAAGAGAGGGACCCAGAGGATTTATAGTCACGAAAAATCAGAGGCTGCCCCTGGGTCAGGGCAGGAAGGTCCCATGTGTGTGTGGTATGTGTGAGAGGTCTGTCTTTCTCTTTCTTTTTCTTTTTTTTTGCTGCTGAGGATGAAATAAGGGCCTCATGCATGCTAAACACTTGCTCTACCACTGAGAGCTCTAGGGGTGAGCTACACCCTAGCCCCTTTTTTCCTTTCTCTTCCCATTGTTGCTATAATTAATGGCCCTGAGGTTGAATTGAAAGCTCTGTCAGAGAGATAGGAGGTTGAGATGACACCCCATGCAGGAGTGTGACAAATAAAGATGAAGAAGTGAGCATACTGTATGCCTAGCAAGTGTCCCAAGTAATTAGAGCAGGATAGAGTTTTCTTCAATCTGATCTACCCTTCTTGTGTCCCATCCCAACTACACAGATTTGCTGCTTCCCAGCTGGAGAGGTGGTAAGAAGTGGGGATGAGTCTCAGCAGAGCAGGATGAAAGGTTGATAGGGGTAGCAGAACACCCTGAAGCTGACAAGGTTTCTTTTCTCCATCCTTTTGGTGTCTGTAGACAGGTCATGGCTAGAGCTCTGGCTCAGGGATGCAAATGACTGGAAAAACATGGACCCAGGAAGCAGCAGGACCTACAGGCAGTAGTCTAGATAGAGTGTACGCTCAGGAGCTGCAGAGAGGAAACTGGGGCTCAACCATTGCAGGTTGTCTAGGCCCTTTCTTTTTCCTTCAGATTCCTTATAGCCATTTTTATCTTGATTGTTATTATTACCTAATAAAAGACAAAGATGACAAGAGTTCTACTTTTTCTTTTTCTTTTTTTTTTTTTAACAGAAGTTTGGGAAGCATGCATGACAGGCCCATGCTGAGAAAAAAAAAATAGCTAATTGAGCAAAGGCCATTAAAATTACAAGGTTACTCAGTTTTATGTACCAATTAAGGGCATATAAAGTACCTGCCAGTGGTTAAGAAGTGACACTAAGGAAATGTGTTTGAGAATACAAAAAATATCGAGGAAAATCTCAATGGCTGAGATCCCTTCAAAATAGGCAGGTTGTCCAAGTAAGAAAACTAGGAGACCTAACAAAATATAAAGAGGTAGTTAAGTAAGGATCACACAATTCTGAGGTTCCTTTTGAGGATCTCCATACCCAGTCATTTTTAAATAAGGTAGTGGAAGTATGTGACAATCTCCTTGTCAACTAGGGTCATAGGAAGCACCTTTTTATGTCCAAGTATGTCCTTTGATTTGGTTTTTGTGGAACATTAAAGATATCCCACATTCATCTTAGAGGTGAAATGGGTCCAATTTGCATAAGAAGTATGGGGTGTGGTTGCTCCTGAGAAGAGGCTCTGACCTAGATTTTCTCAGCATTACTTTGTCCCAGAAGCACATGCCATCCCTGGAGGGCCTGATGCAGGAGGTCCTGGCCACGTGTTTTTTTTTTTGCTCTGGAGTCTAGACCTACTGATGCTGATACATAATAAATCACAAAGGCCAGGTGCTGTTTATATAAAAATGTTTAGGGATCTCTTGGTTAGGTTTATAGAATCTTTAGTTCAGTGTGCAGCAAGATACTACTAAAGGTCCAGCTTTAGGAGAAGCCTGTTTATAAGAAGGAGTCCTGAGCTGGGTGCCAGTGGCTTACACTTGTAATCCTAGCAACTTGGGAGACAAATTGGGAGGATCAGGGTTCAAGGCCAGCCCAGGCAAATAGTTCATGAGACCCCCATCTCCAAAATAACCAGAGCAAAATGGATGGGAGGTATATTGCTCAAGCAGTAGAGGGCCTGCTTTGCAAGCATGAAGCCCTAAGTTCAAACCTCAATCCCACCAAAAAAAAAAAGGAATCGTTGTGACTTGACTTCTGTAGCAATCTCTTGGTAGAGGCCCTACAGATAGGCAGGACTGGTGGGAAAAGGGCATGCAGGACACTGCAGCACAGGATGACGTGGAAAGACAAACTCATTTCTCCTGGCTATGGGTCTCTTATTAATAAGCCTCAATTACCTGTGGTTACCCATGTTCAGATTCCTGGACCTGCTGACAAGTCTGACTTAGGAGTCTGAAGGAGGCAGCCACACATGGGGGTCATGTAAAGCATCTCTCAGCTTTCCTTGGTAGATAAGGGAAAACTAGGTAGGGTTCCCTTACAGAATGATGGTGTGTTATAAGTAGAGAACTGACCTAGAGAGAATGAGGTCAGATGACAGATTAAAGAGGGATTTCCCAGATTAGGAAATGCAAGCTTGAACTTGTTCCTGTCAGTTCTCCTCTTGGCACACATGTCCTACAGCCTCTGATGGGTTTGGGAGAACAGTGGAAAGAATATAGGGCAAGAGAGACCTGAATCAGGGTAAGAGCCCATCCCAGTGAGAGAAAAAGGAAAGCCTGTCAGGCTGCTGGCACCATCAAGTAAGAAAGTGACCTGTCTCTTTTAGGCTGTGTGTGGAGTGATTTAATTTTAGAACTAAGCAGATTATCAAGATATATGATATGAGACCCCAAAATCCTTATTTCAGTCATCTTTGTGTGTCTTATGGGCAATTTGCACACAGTAAATGCTGAATTGCTGTGCAATAAATACCAGGTAGTCATGAAATAGTTGTTTACAGAACAATGAGTGAACATGAGAGAGTTGGAATACCCACCTCTCCACACACCCCC